GGAAGATAATTTTCTGTATCCACCAGTTCTTTAAATTCCACTAAAAACTTTGCTTTCCCTTCCTTATCAGCACTGGCAGCCTCACCATGCCTAACACTAAATATGTCACTTCTTTTCTTAAATTTTTTTAACCAGCCCTTGCTGGCTCTAAAATCTTCAAAGTCTGTGCCTGAAGAACCAGGTTGATTTACCTTTAAATGTTTGTATATTTCCCTGGCTCTTTCACAAATAAATTCAGTAGAAACTGAATCACCGTTCATCTGTTTTTCCCTAATCCAGATGAGAAGTAACCTCTCTGTTTTTGCTATTAGGGATCTACCTTTGAACACTCTGGTAGACTTCTCTCTCACTTTCACTTCCTTGAATTTGTCTTTCTGTGCAAGAATTGTCGATACAGTTGATGTCGACAAGCCATATTGTTTGCTTAGCACATTTGTTCTAATGCCTTCTTCATGTTTTCTAATTATTTCCTGTTTCATCTGAATTGAAATCGCTTTTCTAGATTTCTTGGGACCCATGCTGGATTCAAAAACAATTTCAACACGTGTTATTTTAAGTTCAATGGCTGCAAATAAAGAATATTTTCTTTAAATTAACACTGCACTGCTCTATATATCATCAATATGTAAAATAAATTTCAAAATGATCAATAATTTGACTGAAAACACAGAAAAAAGCGTTTATGTTGAAGTGAGTCTGAAGCAAGATGTTACCTCCACTGAAAAGACACAGAGACTGACTCCTGTCTCTGGACATGAATTTTGCAAACAATGGTGTTGCTGTGATGTCATCCAGTACTCCTGAAGTAAGTGCCATCAGCATCAGTAATGCAAAAAACACACAGCTCAGAAACACCAACATCACTCCATCGACGCACATGTGGTGAAGGGCCCAGGGCCTGGGTCAGCATCACACGTGTACTGATAAAATTTATTTGTCTCGGTACACAGTAAGTCCATGATAGCACCATCAAAGAAAGCTGAAAAAAATAGTCCATCTCGCATGATTCCTCTGTACAAGGAAAATCAGGAGTAATTCCACATGATGATTGTCTGAAATCAGGGATGTCAGGCTGAAAATTACTGCCATCAGACCAAACAAAGGTATCCATTGTCCCTTGTCTGTGCCATTAGCGCATGGCGGGGATACGCCGTCCTGGCTGGGCCTCGCTGCCAGCATCATGCTCATCCTCACTTGTCTCTTAATACATCGTCTAACTCGAGGCTAACATCAGGATCACTAGGCATATAATCACTGCTTTCCTCACCACTTTCACTAGATTCGTTACTACAGCACTCACATCAAATACTTCTGTCCTTATCTGGCTATCATCCAACACACGGCAGCGATGCTTGATTGGAGTGGAAGATGAGGGGCGACTCTCCATGACGACAGGGGAATGGTTACTGACTGCGCTGGGCCTACCCACGCTCCCCGGGACTGACAAATAGTCATGCTGGAACCTGTTAACCCGCGATGGGCATTCAAACAGTGGCGGGAGAAGGCACAGGTTCTGGAATGTCACCCGAGACGTAAGGGTTAATTCGCATGTGTGAGGAGAAAAAAAAAAACACACAATATGAGGACCTCCTCTACATCACACTGTTTAGTTAGTTTTCCGGATTTCCTGCACAAAAACCAGCAGAAACGTAAGACATCACTGGCCGTTGCCCTTGTTGACTTCAGGAAGGCTTTTGACCTTGTTGATCACTGCACTGTTATCAACAAGGCCATTGCACTAGGGCTGCCCACCAACCTGGTCTCATGGCTCACTGATTTCTTGAGTGGACGTTGTCAGGCAGTGAGGTATCAGGGCTCGGTCTCCACATTCCAACACCTCACCTGCGATGTTCCCCAGGGGACCAAGACTGTGCTTCCTCATCCTGATCAATGACGCTCTATCAGACACTCCTCACAGGTGGAAATACGTGGATGACTGCACTGTGTGGGGTTACAGTGGACAACACCGCACCAGACTACTCATCGCTACAAGGCACCCTGGACATGCTACAGGCATGGACTACGGAGAACAAGGCCACCATCAACCACACCAAAACCATAGTCATGCACAACAATACTGCCACCACTCCAGTGCAAGCTCCAGCAGTCACAGTGGGTGCCCATCCTCTCCAGTTAGTGCAGTCTGCCAAACTCCTGGGTGTTACCATAGACCACAAACTGGGCTGGAAGGCCCATGTAAACAACACAATCAAGGCAGCCTCGTACCGACTCTACATCCCACGACGACTTAGGTCACTTGGGACACCCACGCCAGAGCTGAGGACTATCTACAACGCCTTTATTCTCCCCAAACTAACGTATGCGTCACCAGCCTGGTCGTCTTCTCTCAACTCCACCCAACAACGTCAGCTAGAGAAGGTACAGAAGAGGGTCTGCAGAATCATGCTCGGCGCAGACTATTCCGGCTACATCAACGCTCTCTCCACCCTGGAATTCCATCCTTCAGTGACCTCCACCACCAAGCACTAGCAAGGTTTGGCAGTGGACTACTGCACCATCCTCACCATCGCCACCTCCTGCCACCGGCAGTCCCCCACCCACCTCGCACAGTCCGCCACTACAACAAAATTCAGCCCATAAGAGCCCGCACTGATAGATATAAGAACAGCACCATCCCATCTATTGTTAAAATAATAAACAACTAATGATTTATGTACTGTACAGCCCTGTAAATGTATTCAACGCATATCATTATGTCTAAATGAAATCTCTCTCTCTCTCTCTCTCTCTCTCTCTCTCTCTCTCTCTCTCTCTCTCTCTCTCTCTCTCTCTCTCTCTCTCTCTCTCTCTCTCTCTCTCTCTCTCTCTCTCTCTCTCTCTCTCTCTCTCTCTCTCTCTCTCTCTCTCTCTCTCTCTCTCTCTCTCTCTCTCTCTCTCTCTCTCTCTCTCTCTCTCTCTCTCTCTCTCTCTCTCTCTCTCTCTCTCTCTCTCTCTCTCTCTCTCTCTCTCTCTCTCTCTCTCTCTCTCTCTCTCTCTCTCTCTCTCTCTCTCTCTCTCTCTCTCTCTCTCTCTCTCTCTCTCTCTCTCTCTCTCTCTCTCTCTCTCTCTCTCTCTCTCTCTCTCTCTCTCTCTCTCTCTCTCTCTCTCTCTCTCTCTCTCTCTCTCTCTCTCTCTCCCTCTCTCTCTCTCTCTCTCTCCTCTCTCTCTCTCTCTCTCTCTCTCTCTCTCTCTCTCTCTCTCTCTCTCTCTCTCTCTCTCTCCTCTCTCTCTCTCTCTCTCTCTCTCTCTCTCTCTCTCTCTCTCTCTCTCTCTCTCTCTCTCTCTCTCTCTCTCTCTCTCTCTCTCTCTCTCTCTCTCTCTCTCTCTCTCTCTCTCTCTCTCTCTCTCTCTCTTCTCCTCTCTCTCTCTCTCTCTCTCTCTCTCTCTGTCTCTCTCTCTCTCTCTCTCTCTCTCTCTCTGTCTCTCTCTGTCTCTCTCTGTCTCTCTCTGTCTCTCTCTGTCTCTCTCTGTCTCTCTCTCTCTCTCCATGTGAAATGAAGTGCCTTGCCTCATTGCCACAGTTTTTTATTTGCCTGTATTCTTTATTATAAATTCTAGCATGATCAGCTTCTTATGGTGTATGTTTTATCATTGATAATTTAAAATATTAAATACAATAGAAAAATACACAATACAATTAATAATCTGACATCAAAATTAAATGACAAACCGAATACAGTAATAAGGTAAAAAATAGTATTGTACTGTACTGTACAGTATATGGAGGGTGTATAGCAAACGGAGAGGATTAATGCTGTGAAAAAGCCATATATTTTAGCAACATATTACTCTACTTTAGTGTACAACTTGTACTCAAATGTACTAAGCTAAAGAACTAAAAATTTAATCTCTAGTGCAAACTATGAGATGTGTATACTTAAATTAATTGATATCTTGCAAGAATTCCAGCAATGCAAGTTATATTCAGCTAAGTCAAGTCTGTGACATTTTATAATAGAAAAACTTTAAGCCTAAAACCACATTCATCCCATTAATTATATCAATTATGGCTGGGAGGAGGGTAGGAGGAGTGTTGACAGCCAGGAGGGGAGATTAATGCTTAGTTGGGAGGAGGGGGGAGGAGGTGGGGTGTTCACAGCCAGTGAGGGGAGATTAGATGTCAGTGGACAGGGAGCGGTGGTGCAGGTCAGGGAATTTAAGTTTTTCTCTTATAAAATGTCACAGACTTGACTTAGCAGAATATAACTTGCATTGCTGGAATTCTTGCAATATATCAATTAGTTCAAGTATAATCATCTCACAATTTGCACAAGACATACAAATTTTAGTAATTAACTTAGTACATTAAAGTAGTCATGTTTTGCCCCAAATTATATTTTTTAATGGGGAAAATAAGAGGTTTTTGCTCATCACATTGTCCAATATTACTACTTTTTAATACTCCATGTGTGGAGAATGTCACAAATGGTCACCTACTCAAGATTTATCACTGTAAAGATCTAAAAACATTGTTCACTGTATCTATTATTGTAGCATACTGTACATAAAGGCAACACAGTGGTTGGAGGGCCCACTGCCCAAAGAATTTCTCAGCTCTCAACCAGTTTTGTGATTGTTTCACAACCGCGTGTGATAATTTATACGGTTGCTCTGCAGTTGTGAAGCTTTGTAAATCACTACAATAGTGTATAATGCATCTCCATATGCCCTGATTTATTCACTGATCAGTTGTGGCCAAATTGAGCCATCATGTATCAATTAATTTTGAAATAGAATTTATAAAGTAAAATATTATAAGACAGTGGTTTAGTAGTGCTGTTAATGTGTGTGTTGTGTAAGTGTTTTGGCATGTCACCTCACCTACTGCCTCTTCACTTCAGCACCTAACTCTTTACCTCACAACCCAACCAGTCACCTCACCCTTTGCCTCATTAGCTCAGGTCAGAATTCAATTGATTTATTACTGTATTGTATGTACATTTAAAGAACTATTTATGTTTGCACAGTAATTATAAATACAGTATATATAAAGTGATCACCTTGAAGGAGGAAGTCCAATGCCAGTCTCAAATGCCTTAGAGATGTAAATCATGGCAACACGATCCTTAGCTTCTGCAGCCATCAGCATGTAGTCAAACCCTATTTCTTTGTCACTCTTGTTAACGCCCAACTGCAAGAGACAGAATTTAGATAAACAATGTGACAAAGTATTCAGTGTTACATATAATAATCATGAAGAGTAAAAAGGATTCTATTTCCATACAAGGTAAAGAGAGCCACAGCAATATTGGTATTTACAATATATCTTCATTTATAATTATTTCTATTGCCTATAAAAATAACATATTACAATTGTGCTGTGTATTAAGATACTAAGTGGATGAGTAAGACGATGGGTAAAAACAATATGATCATGCACTGCACAGTATTTGGTCTGGTAAATATTCATCAAGTACAGTATATTCATTTTCATCTTTTGTATTAAAATAATAAAACTCATATTAGCCCAAATTATTAAGGACAAGTTATCATCTGATCTCAATAACATTCAAAGAAATGTTCACTCCTTATTGCAACATATCAATGGCTAGCATGTATCAGTTACTAGTGGAAGAAAATATCAGATGTAATGGTAATACTAACTGGTCACTCAATACAAAACTGGGTTTTATCAGTTGAGCATCTATCACTTAACAAGTAAGAAAAGGATGATCTTAAATCCCATTATAAGGTTAAGACCAGAGCTAAGCAGCTCGGGCATCAAAGTCATTGCAGACTGGGACTAATCCCCCCAAAAAATTATGCCTTTCTATCACAAAAGAAGTTTGAAATTGATGATTACAACTGACAATTCACTATCTAATTTAGGAAGAAATGAGTGGTGAATGCCAGTTAAGTCATAGTGAGGTTGTTACAATTCACACTTTTTCAGGTCCTACTGCCTTTCATGCTACTAAATAGGAGGAGGAAAGATCTATGATTCCATTAGTTCCATATTAAGCCATGAACGATAGATTGATCCTCAAATCCCTTCTGGTAGATCCGATAACCAGGGCTACTGTCTTGGGGCTCTATGTCATCAGGCATCCACTAATAATATTTGCCAGGGATCATTTGTTAATCAATTTGATCACCTGTATATAAAACATCTTTCCTCCCAGGCTTGGTTTTATTATAGCTGAGTTTGCCCAATTGGCAGGCAACATGCTAAGGCATACAGCCTACTGTCTTCATTTCAAGCCAAATTGTCATTTATTTAATTCAGTTTTAGTTGGCTAAGTCACAAATATAAAGCAGTAAAGATGGTATGCAAGCCAAACAAAAAAATTTGCTTTAAGGACACGACGACTCGCAATAAATAATTCAAACATGAACCAATTTAGCCTAAGCATTTTTTTTAGGATATGACCCCACCGTTGCTTCATAACTGGTGTGAAATATGTCAAGGATGTTCTAACAAACAATGTACATGCACTTACAAAGACTAGTCTATAAATGGGTCAATAATTTTCATAACTGAAAACTTCAAATGACAGTTACTGTAATATGGCAAGCTCTGACCTACTGTACTTCTTCCTCTTGAGTTTTTAATCAAGGTATTGTGAGATTAAAATATACGTATTATCTCCAGATTCTATTTTTGGGATTCTTTTTTGCAATCACTTCATACCTCAACATCTGGGAGAATATCATGTGATAAACCAAGGTGGAGGTATGCCATAGTTTTGATGCCTTCCAGGATGCCACACTTGGCTGCTTGATCCACATGAAAAACAGCAGCCTCTCTATCATATGTCTCCGATTCTTTTACAAACCTATTCAATTCATGATATTTTGCCAGATCCAAATGTATCTGTAAAAGAGAGAAGACACATAGTAACTGATACTTATACATACAGAATGCATCTACACTCTCATAACAACTTGCATTGGTAAATCAAAATGTGTTTTCTCAATGTGTTCTAACCATCTCACTTCTCCTACACCTGCTACCACTTAATTCCCTCATTATTTTGGTTGGCTCTATGATTTATTAACCTCTCTTTATTTACTGCAATTTTCTCTCCAAACTCAAATGTTACATAAAGTATTTTGGGTCCTACTTCTCAACATCACAATACACATCCATCTCATCATTTGCATTTCAACATACTAAAGTCTATGTACAGTGTACTGTATATCATCAACTTTAACTGCCCCAAGTTTCACTGCCATTCAACAACACACTTTTCACTCCAGACCCATACACTTTGCCTTTGATGTGAAGAGGTATTCTCTTAGACAATAAAGGCACCACTTCCCTAAATTTCTTCCAGCCATTTCTGACTTTTGCAACACTGCTAGCTTCGCCACCACCTCCAGCAATGATCATGTCACCCAGGTAGTAGAACTCATTGACACTGTCCAGTTTCTCCAACCTTGCTAAGGCCAGATAATTATCTGTATATAGTGCATTTAAGGTCAGTAACATTCTGCGTCTGCCACTTAAATCATTTGTGTACCCACCTTCCATGTTCACCACCAATTATTAAAACTTTTCTTATAAACAGCACATTGAAATCTTCCACCATTTTTTTTTCACCACATTCACTCCCATACCCTTTGGCTTTATTCCATTTTTCCATTTCTTAAATTTCTTCTCTACATCTTCATTACTCACCGCTATCAGCACTAAGCAGCAAGTATACAACAATTCCCAGGTAGGTCCAGTCCTTAAATCTTACATTACCTCTAGTACCATGCTAAAGGAAGAGGCTCAAGACAGGCCCTTGATGGATCCCTATTTTCACCTCACATCCCTCAGTTTACTTGTCATTTACTTTCACGGTGCCCACGTAAAATGCCAAAACCATTTGAACAAGACACTTGTTAAACCCTAACTTTCTCACTGCCAAATGTACTACCTCAAATGGGTAGCCTGTTAAATGCCTCTCTCTCCTATACAGACAGACCCCGACTTACGACTGCTTCGACTTACGACCGTCGGGACTTACGACCGCCTCAGATTTATTATTAAAAAACAATTTTTTTTTTTTCTTCAAATGACACGCATTTTCTATACCGAAACGTTTCCAGTTAATGTAGTCTCCATGTATAATTAGAAAATTATGGGGGCCCCATGTGCATTCAGCTGACTACATTAAAGGTAAGTGCTCAGTCACACTGTAACCATTCCTTATTATTTATTACTTTCACTGTACTGTATCCATTCCTCATTATTCATTACTTTTACTGTACTGTATTTCATTGTAGATTATTTATTTATTAAAAAAAAATATATATATATATATATATATTTTTTAATCTATGTCGGACTTACGACCTGGATTTGGGTCTCTAACCCCGTCGTAAGTCGGGGTCTATCTGTACTCGATAATTATTTTGTATTTGCCCGACCATAAATATTGCCTCTGCAGTTCTCCTGCCTGACATGAACCCAAACTGCTTTTGCTTTTTGTCTAATCTCTTCTTCGCCAATTTCTCGGGCACTCTTTCCCCAGCTTTCATGAGCCTAATTTAACAGCATCAGGCCCCTGTACTTCCCACATTCAGGTGCATCACCTTTTCCCTTGTGCATATTCACAATCACACTCTTCAGCCAGTCAGCTGGAACGATACTTTCCATCATTTATTCATTTACCTAGTTGGGTACAGTACCATTGGCACACCAATATCATGTGATACTTTTGACATTTCTACATCTATTTCTGACCTTCCAGCAGCCATTCCATTCTTCATTTTGTTAGATGCTTCCTTCACCATCTCTTTCAATCCTTGGGTACCGTCCCTGTAATGGTTTTGCTGCTTCTAAGCTGCCCCCATCCCATTCAAACTCCTCATTCAACACACGATCATAGTATGACCGTACAATAAACCATTGATAACTCGGCATTCAATATCTCGGAATTTCATATAATTCAGCACGTGTATGGTCTCGGAAATTATTATAAATAACTCGGGGAAATGTCGAGTTATATAAAATTATTTTGGAAAATCTCGGCATATTTGGCTGCGTGGGTAACACTCGCTGCGCTCCACGCTTGGTCAGTCTGGTGTGCACCGGCTCACTCCACCCAGTATATGGACGTGAGAAGGGAGGGTGCACCACAGAGTATCTAGGGCACCAGAATTAATATTCAGGTAAAATTTGGATTCTGCGGTACTGATAACACCCAACAACCTCCCCCATTCACGTCAGGCCAGCCACTGTATGTAGAACGTCTTTACTATTACGGTAAATCCAATGTTGTTGACTTTATTTAATTTGCAGTGCAATTTATTTAATCTGAATTCCAGCTATCTGAATCTTCCAGGTACCCCAACTTTGTACCCTTTGGAAAAATTTCTAATTTAGTCCAACAATCCATAAGCAACTGAAGCCATTTATTCATGTGTTTGACACCACAAGTGCTATAACAGCTTTTTAAACAAAATTGCTATGATAAACAATAAAATTGATACATAGCATATCATAAAATAAAATACCACATATTTTATGTACAAAAAATAACTCCTTCCACACTCAAACCATCATCTAAGTGATGCCACAGTTCAGCCAGGCAGTTAACCAGCTGACTGAGACGTGTGTGTGTGTGTGTGTGTGTGTGTGTGTGTCTGCTGTGAAGTCACATTGGAGGGAGGAAGGCGGGTGAGTCAGCCAACAGTACAACACACTGCCTTCACATATGTTAACCCCCCAACACATGCATACACACCTATGCTCTTTATTTTCTTATTTTATAGTTTAATATTATATTTTCTTAATTTCTAAGCTACATTAGTGTTTTAATTTTTAACTAGGGTGGACTATAATACCCTTAGTGCTATAAGTTATGTGTTTATTTACATACTCCGACTTGAATTATATACAGTGGGGTATGCCATAACGAACGGATCCTACTACGAATATTCCTATAACGAACGGTTTTACCTATAAAATTGAGAATGCTATAACGAACGCAACTCCTACAACGAACGGGGATGAATACGGGACTATTTCGCCTGGCGCATGAATATTGTTGTACCGCGACCCACAACAAGAGCGTCAGGCACCATCTTTGTCTCATTGTGTAGCCAGTGTACCACTGTTAGTGTTGAAATTTCGTCTTTTGATGTGGAAATGGAGTTATTTGTATAAATATTTTGTTATACAAGTGTACAATTGTGACAATGAATCGTCCAAAGCGAGTGAGAAAGCTCATAACTCTTGAAACTAAGAAAGAAATCATAAAGTAACGTGAGGATGGAACAAGCATTGCGAGACTTAGTGATGAGTATGGGATGGCTAAATCGACTATATGTACGATTTTAAAGAATGAAGAGGAATTAAAAACAGTGCAAGTGGCTAAGGGAATCTCTAGACTTAGCAAAGCAAGGTGTAATGTGATTGAGATGGAAAATTTACTCTTAGTGTGGATAAAGGAGAAAGAAATGGCAGGTGATACCATTAGTGAAGCTATAATTTGTGAGAAGGCCAGACAATTGTTTGAGGACCTTAAAGCCAAGACTCCCAGTGCAAGTGATAGTGATGTGCCAATGTTTAGGGGTACCAAGGGGTGGTTTACTGGTTTCAGAAGGAGAAATAAAATACATAGTGTTGTGAGACATGGTGATGCTGCTAGTGCTGATAAGGAAGCAGCTAAGGAACACCATGACATTTTTTTGAATATTATTAAAGAGGGAGGCTTTGTTTCTCAGCAGGTATTCAACTGTGATGAAACTGGACTTTCTTGGAAAAAAATGCCTCGCCGTACATACATTACCAAGGAGGAAACTTCTGTCTCGGGCCATAAGCCAATGAAAGACAGGCTTACCTTCTTTCTTTGTGCTAATGTTTCTGGTGACTGCAAAATAAAGCCACTCCTTGTGTACCACGCAGAAAACCCCAGAGCTTTCAAAAAAATTAGGAAGACCCGCCTTGGTGTTATGTGGCAGTCAAACCCAAAGGCTTGGGTGACCAGGAATTTATTCTCTGAGTGGGTGATTGAGGTGTTTGGACCCAGTGTTCGGGAATACCTCAGGGAGAATAATCTTCCACTGAAAGTTTTGTTGGTGATGGACAATGCACCAGCCCACCCTCCTAATTTGATGGTTGAATTGCCAGAGGAGTTCAACTTCATCACTGTGCACTTCTTGCCACCCAACACAACACCTCTCATCCAGCCCATGGATCAACAGGTAATTTCTAACTTTAAGAAGCTGTACACAAAGGCACTGTTTAGAAAATGTTTTGTGTCCACTTCTTCCAGTGATGTTAGCTTGAAGGAATTTTGGAAGAGTCACTTCAATATAGCAGATGCTGTATTTTTAATTACCTCAGCCTGAAAAGAGGTTACTGTGAGGTGTCTTTGTGCTGCTTGGAGGCCATTGTGGCCTGAATGTGTCCTTCAAAGAGACTTTGAAGGCTTCAAAGAGTTAGAAGAAGAGGCTGTTGTTCATGAAATTGTGTCTCTGGGCAATTCCATGGGCCTGGAAGTGGATGATGATGATGTTGAGGAGTTGGTGGAAGAGCACAGTAAGGAATTGTCCACCGAGGAGCTGCTTGAGCTTCACAAAGAGGAAAATGAGACACTGAAGCGGAGCTTAACTTCTGAGGAGTCAGGGGAGGAGGACAAGGAGGAAAGCCGCATCATTCCAGCCAAAGATCTCAAGGATGCGTTCTTTTGCTGGAGCAAACTGTCTAAGCTTGCTGAGGATTATCATCCTGATGTTGGTTCTGTGCAAAAGGCCATCAGTGTGTTTAATGACAATGTTATGAACTACTTTTGTAAGGTCCAGAAATCAAGGTTGAAGCAGCCAACCCTGGATTCCTTCTTTACAAAGGTAACAAAAGAACCTACAGACAAAGTGCCTGTGAGACAGTCACCAAAGAGGGCTAGGAAGGATGACTCCTCTCCTTCCACCTCTTCTCCATAATTCTCTCCTCCCCCTCTGCCTCCTGTCCTGCATGCTGAACAACACTAAGGTAAGACAAAGTACCGTATTTTTTACATTTTCCACAGAATTTTTTCAGTGTTAAGTGGTTGTATTTGGGGGCCTGGAACGGATTAATCCTATAACGAACGAATGCTATAACGAACGAGGTTCTGGAACCAATTACGTTTGTTATAGCATACCCCACTGTATAGATAAAAAAAAATTTTGGAGTAAAATTTATTCTTTATTTTGCATAAGTGACCAAATTACAGTAGTACAGTATACATAAGTGCTACACTGTTTACTGTTTATGTAGCATTTCCTGCATCACCTACCGTTCTCCTGCATCACCTACCGTTTCCCTGCGTCACCTACCGTTCCCCTGCGTCACCTACCGTTCCCCTGCGTCACCTCCTTCCCCTCACCTACCGTTCCCCTCTCGTCACCTAACGTACCTACCCCCTCGTCTACCCGTTCCCCTCGTCACTACGTTCCCCTCGTCACCTACGATTCCCCTCGTCCTCCCGTTCCCCTGTCATCCTACCGTTCCCCCTCGTACCCTACGCTCCCCTCGTTCTACAGTCCCCTCGTCACCTACTGGATTCCCCTAGTCACCTGGATTCCCCTGCATCACCTACCGTTCCCCTGCATCACCTACAGTTCCCCTGCATCACCTCTGGATTCCCCTGCATCACCTCTAGTTCCCCTGCATCACCTACCCGTTCCCCTGCATCACCATCACCTGTCACCACCGTTCCCCTCATCTCTGGTTCCCCTGCATCACCACGTTCCCCCTGCATCACCTACAGTTCCCCTGCATCACCTCACCGTCCCCCTGCATCACCTATCCTCCCGTTCCCTACTCCCGTTCCTCATCACCCCGTTCCTACATCACCTCGTTCCCTGCATCACCTAGTTCCCCTGCATCACCTTCCTACATCCCCCATTCCCCTCGTCCTCCCCGTTCCTGTCCTTACCATTCCCTGCATCACCTCAGTTCCCCTGCATCACTTGCGTTCCCCTGCATCACCTACCATTACCCTCGTCACCGTTCCCTGCATCCCTTACCATTCCCCTGCATCACCCCGTTCCCTGCATCTTACCGTTCCCCTGCATCACCTACGTTCCCCTGCATCACCTACTGTTCCCCTGCATCACCTACCATTCCCCTGCATCACCTACCGTTCCCCTGCATCATCTACCGTTCCCTACATCACCCCCGTTCCCCTGCATCACTTACCGTTCCCCTGCATCACCTACCGTTCCCCTGCATCACCTACTGTTCCCCTGCATCACCTACTGTTCCCCTGCATCACCTACCGTTCCCCTGCGTCACCTACCGTTCCCCTGCATCACCTACCATGCCTCTCGCCTATTACAATACTTCAATCTTCACCTGCAGTGCTGGTAAGTGTTACTTTTTTTAAAATTAGTTATTACATATTTATGTATATGGGCCAATAATATTTTATTGTTGTAATTTTGTAGAAGGGGGAGTGCTTCGATGGGAGTGCTTCGATAAATCTGAATTTGGTATAATTCGGAAAGGCCAGAGCCCGATACATGCCAAGTTATCACGGTCGTACTGTATTCTACAAATCCAAACAATTCTTAATTCCTTATTGAATCATATTTGTATAATTTTCTTAATTCCTATGGTATTGATTAGGTTGTTTATATCTACTCAACTTATTCAACAACCACACTTGGTTTTGACTTAAATCTATAATGAATTAATAACACACTATAGTAAATTTTTTAGGTTTGGATAGAATACTACTTTTATTCTAAAGTAGTATGATAAGCACCTGTCCCAAAACAGAACCTCCAGTTTTGCTTCTATTTTCCTCCAAGAGTTCAAGTTGCTTTCGATGTTCCATCTCTCCAAGCACATGGGATGGGCGAGCCTTCCTCTGCACCATGTCCTTGAACTGGGAAGCAAAAGTAATTAGTTAAGCTTACTTTCACAGTCAGGATAACATTAACAGTGTTAGCTAGTTCAGTGCTCTTATTAGTGCTTGTGGAATATCAAAATAAAGTAAGATTACAAATATTTCAATATGGGAAAGGTACCAACAACAAAGTACAGTACAGTAAAGCCTCCAATAACAACGGTTCACCCAACAACTTTTCATATTTAAAACCCTAGTTAACTTAGGACCTAATTCAATTTACGTCCTTATTTCATTTGTATTTACGACCAAAATATAATAAAAATAAAATTAAATTAAATTTTCAAAAAAAATAATAACTAAATCCCAATATGTATTATAAAAAAAAAAATAATTACAGTAGTACCCCGTTTAATGCGGTCAATAGAACCCACAGGGTACCGTGTTAAGTGAAAACCGCGTTAAGTGAACAACAGAACATATGGGATTAATTCCAATAGAAACTGGCCCGACCCCCAAACTCCACTTTTTGACGACACACAACTATGTTGTAGTAAAAATTTTATCTTAACTTTATGATGGTATGAACAAACAAGTAATATGGAAGAGGTTAGGTTAGGAAAAATAAAGGTTAGGTAAGGAAAACTAAAAGTTAGGTGTAACACTTACGTTAGTAGAAGACACACACTGCGCAACCTTACAGCGCGGCTTGCCCAGGCGGAGGGAGGCGGGAGGGAGGGAGAGGCGAGAGCAGGCAGGCAGGCGGGTGGTGCGAATCTAAAAATAGCGTCTCGAGCCGGACACTCTGCGCGTATACATGGAAAAAACCCGCGTTAAGTGAAAGTTCGGCTCTGGCGAGGCACCGCGCATACATGAAATCGCGCTAAGCGAAACCGCGTTAAGCGGGGTATTACTGTACTGTAAAAAAAAAGAAGAGCGCTTTGCGCAAAGAAGCTGCCTGGCTAATGAGTGGTAAACAACAGTCCAAGCTTGCCGGGCCTTTTGTTTTCACGCATCTGGAACGGGAACACGAGAAAGATTTTCTCAGGTTTCTTACAGCATTTTTGCATCCCTATTCAACATGAGCAAGAGAGCAAGTGATGGTAGTGTTGGTTCAAAAGCTAATAGAAAGTGTATAAGCTTAGCCAAGAAACTAGATGTGTTAAAATGATATGAAAAAGGTGAGAGGTCTGTGGATATTATATGGAGCAAGCAATGAACATATTTTCTGAAGTGGATCTATTAACAGAACATTATACATAAAGATGTATAATGAGAAAAGAAAGCAACTGTGCAAGGTTCTTTCGACAGCTTTATTATCCGAAGGCCTAAACCATTAACTTCAGCTACACCATCAAATTCAGCATCATAAGCAGCTTCAACATCAACTTCAGGTTCAGTAACAGTTTCAGCAGCAGCTTTATGGAAAGCTACAGCTTCAGCCAGAGTTGAACCTGATGACTTCATCATGTGAGTAAAAACTTGCACAATATTCATTGGCTGTCCTTATGTTTTAGACTTTACCACCATTGGTGAGTAGAATTTTTGTTTTACATTCGTAAATATTATTTAAAACATATATGAACAGTAAATAAATACAGGTTGTACCTCTCTAGTCCGGTATTCTGTGGTCCGGAAACTCCAGTGGTTCGGAACGATTTTAGTTTGTCCAATAGGCAGCTCTTTCTTTTTTTTTTTTTGCTTATCTGCATTATTATTACAGGAGTATTAAATTTTTGCCCCTCAGGCTCCAATGTGGGTCAGTGACCTATGCCCGGGTGGGCTAATCCCCATAAAAAAACAAAAACAACAAAGCCGCGGGAAATTAAGGTTTGTTTACATCCGGCAGTTCGGCTGCTCTCCCTCTCTCTCTGCTTGTCTATACCGAGTACAACATTTAACCCTTCAATATATATGAGCAGCAAATAAGTGTTGCTTTCATATTCTTATGTAGAGTAATGACGATGTGTTTTCACATGGGCGCACTTACATACGCGCACTCACTTTTTTTCTTTACCATTAATGGTTAGCTACATATATTGTTCCATTTATTACATTAAATAACATTACTTTAAACAAGCATATTAATTTTTTTACCTTAATTTTACTGCAGCTACAATCAGGGTCTTATTTTCTTCAGTTTTATATGTAGAACCAATCAGTCACAGGTTTTGTAAGCATTAACGAAAACAATGCTGGCAGCCGTCTCGTCTCCTCGTGTTAATATTCCACGTATTATTAATGAATTGTATTGTTCATTTTGCACACACAAACATTAATTCAATAAAAAAAATTCAGAAACATTAATTACAATATACATGAACGGTAAATTAGTGTTGCTTTCATATTCTTATATAGAGTAATGACGATATGTTTTCACGTGTGCGCACTTACATACGCGATCTCTCTTTTTTTCTTTACCATTATCGTTAGCTACTTTTATTGTTCCATTTATGAACATTAAATAACATTACTAAAAAAACATATTAATTTTACTACAGCTACAACCAGGGTCTTATTTTCTTTAGTTTAATATGTAGAACCAGTCAGTCACTGGTTTTGTACTCAACGAAAACAATGCTGTCTCATTTCCTCGTGTGTTTTAATATTCTACGTATTATTAATGAATTGTATTGCCCATTTTGCACATAAACATTAATTAAATCAAAAAGACATTCAGTAATAAACAATAATGAATCTTTTGTACATAAGAGAAATGACAGTTTACATGATTGTGCACGTTGTCTGAACGTTGGTGGGCCATTCAAACACGTCAAAATTCGAGTTTCCACCGTCAAAATTTTTAATTGTTTTGTTTTTAGTGTGTTCAAATAAAAAACGTCGAACTAAAAAATCGCAAAATTTGAGAAGCTACTGTACGACATTTAACCCTTCAATATGTCTTCAAAGAGACCATGAAGCAGAGAAAGTGGTGCGAGTGCTTCCAAGCATAAGCCCAAGTCACTAAAACTGTTACTGAACCTGAAGTTGATGTTGAAGCTGCTTATAATGCTGAATTTGATGGTGTAGCTGAAGTTGATGGTTTAGGCCTTCGAATAATAAAGCTGTCGAAAGAACCTTGCACAGCTGCTTTCTTTTCTCATTATAAATCTTTATGTAGAGGTCATTTGCATTTAAATTTTAATGCTTTGTTCTGTTAATGGATCCACTTCAGAAAATATGTTCATTGCTTGCTCCATATAATATCCACAGACCTCTCACCTTTTTCATATCGTTTTAACACATCTAGTTTCTCGGCTAAGCTTAGACACTTTCTATTAGCTTTTGAAACAACACTACCATCACTTGCTCTCTTGCTCATGTTGAATAGGGATGCAAAAATGCTGTAAGAAACCTGAGAAAGTCTTTCTCGTGTTCCTGTTCCAGATGCGTGAAAACAAAAGGCCCGGCAAGCTCAGACTGTTGTTTACCACTCATTAGCCAGGCAGCTTCTTTGCGCAAAGCGCTCTTCATTTTTTTACAGTATTTTTTTTTTTATATAATACATATCGGGATTTATTTATTATTAATATGAAAATGTAATTTTATTTTATTTTTATTATATTTTGGTCGTAAATACGAATGGAATAAGGATGTAAACTGAATTGGGTCCTAAATTATCTAGGGTTTCAAATACGAAAAGTTGTTGGTCGAACCGTTGTTATCCGAGGCTTCCCTGTACTACAACCATAATACAGAGTGATTACAGTACTGATTACATTTATGTAATGTTTTGCATTGATTTAATAAGTTTATATGACTTTTCTATTTTCGTTTGTTTTGAATGAGTAAGGTGTCTGAAAATCAGCCCCCAAGAATGCATCCTCTATTTATAATATTATGTCTATGGAAAAATTAAATTCCCTATACAAATTTTTGTTTTATGCAGAACTTCTGTTCGATTCATCTTTCATTTAGCGAGAACTCCCTGTAAGGTCTTATGTCTTGGCTTGATTAACTTTAATTAGTGAAACCAAACAAGCCCTCACAACAAATTCTGAGGTAGCACTTTCCTGTAACGGTAACCCACTCCACACCAATAAATTCCAATTTACAAAAAGCTTAAACCAGTCCCTAACCTGCTAGAAGAAAAATCCAGTCATTGCAAGTGACTGAGAAACTGCATGTTAGCCTTCTATACTTTAGAAAGAGTGCCACCTATTCACTTCATAATCCAATATAAACACATGCAAAATGAGGTAAAAATATTAAAGCAGGGGGAAAACCTTTTTATACAAAAATAGAAGTGTAATCAACAGATGGAGTTGAGACTGAGATGAAGTTTGATTCCGTGAGTCTACTTCATTACCAGGTCAGAGGTCATGAACCATCAGCTTCCCTGGATTAGTGGCAGCTATGGAGTCCCAGACCCCCTTTTTAAAGGCTAAAATGGCTATAATGAAGTTGGCTAATCTTTGGATTAAGCCCCAGTTACCTTAATATATAGTTCCTCTAGTCCAAATCCAGAGGCTCTGGTGAGTTTTATGCACAAGTCATTCCAAATTGGTATTTGGTGAAACCTATAAACACTGTTTGAATAATGTGATACTCTACAGGTACTCCCCGACTTACGGCGGGGTTAGGGACCGACATCCAGGTCGTAAGTCGAAATGGTCGTAAGTCGGAAATGCTTAAATAACACAGAAAACCGAAAATTTGGGTCTCGTTTTCTTCTCAGCACCACAAAACACTCACTTTTAAGCTTGCCAGCCATTTTAAAGTGAATTACAGATGAAAATTTTGTCTGTGTACTGACTTTGGGACTCAAAAATACATAATTTAACCACATTTTGGTACGACTGAGGCAGGTCGTAAGTGCGGGTGGACGTAAGTCGAGTCGGTCGTAAGTCGGGGAGTACCTGTACATTGTAATGTATTATTTGCATGATCATCCCATATACTAGTGTACAGTGTTAGAATAAGATTTTATCTGAACTGAACTCATCTAATCTGTGTGTACAGGGCAGCCAAATATATTCTAATTATACAGTAGTTACATTAACTGATATAATGTATTTACTAATAAAAATAATGAATTGGATTCTACCATGCAGAAATAAAAGGAGTAAATCAATTAAAGGAAATAAAATATCTTACTTGAATACTAATACAAAATCTCTACTTAAAGTATTAAATTTTTTTGAACCTCTCTTCAATGTATTGCCATACTGCCATAATTTATGACACTCACATTTAATACACAGAATTAATCACATACCTGAAATAGTTCCCTTTCTCTGGTTTCAGTGTCAGTGCCAGAATCCGATATCGAGTCAAAGCGTATTCTGGAGTTGTATGATAAACATCGACGTCTGTTTTCTTGGCGTGCAGAATCAATTAAAGAATCTTCGCTCTCTGACATCATGGGTACGTCATCACTTTCCTGAAAACAGTGTTGATTTACGATAATGATAGACTGCTATTAAAATATACGAGTACTTTGTATTTTGGGCTGAGAAATTTTGAGGTTACTGTATACACCCCGAACACTGAAAGAAAATACTGATTTTTTAAGGAAATTTGGATTCATAAATGACATAAAGCACCGAGAGACTTTTAGTTATCATTTCTGATGACTTAAGTTGAGAAATTTTAATTAATAGGTAAATTCTAATGAGTGTGCAGTCCACCAGAGGAGCAAGAGGTAATGAAAATTCTTTGATGTGTAATTAACTCTATTTTTTTTTTTTTTTAACAAGGATTAGCCCACCTGGGCACAGGTCACTGACCCACATCAGGGCCTGGGGGGGCAAAGATATATAGTAACAATAATAGTAATACAGGTTGACAATCCAGTATCTGAAATCCTTGGGGCCAGCTGTGTTTCGGATTTCAGAATTTTTCAGATTTCAGAATTTTTCGGATTTCAGAATGTTTAGTTTTTTTTTTTTTATCGGGGATCAGACCACCTAGGCACAGGTCACCGACCCATGTTGGGGTCTCGGGGGCAAAAATGTAATAATACTATTAATAATAATAATAATTCATAGGTCTAGGTCGTGTTTCTCACTTTTGATCTTTTTTTTTCATTCTTGTATTTCTTTATTACAGTATTATTATTATATCATTATTATTTTATCATTATTATTATTATTTTATTATTACACCTTTTCACATATACGTCGAGACATTGTTATATACCTACAGGGTATTTGACATATTTCATAACCGAATGACAGAACACATATCGAATGACATTCTAAAATAACTGTTCGTTCATGCTAACAGAAATGATTGACAAAGGTTATGAAATTCACAGACGTGAGCAATAAACCGACAGTCTGCATATAGACTGTCGGTTTATTGCTCACGTCTCAATTTCATAACCTTTGTCAATCATTTCTGTTAGCATGAACGAACAGTTATTTTAGAATGTCATTCGATATGTGTTGTCATTCGGTTATGAAATATGTCAAATAGGTATATAACAATGTCTCAACGTATATGTGAAAAGGTGTATTATTATTGTTATCATTATTATTTTATTTTTGTGTATTTTTTATTAAAATTTTTATTTACAATAAATTATTATTATTATTATTATTATTATTACATTTTTGCCCCCAGGCCCCGATGTGGGTCAATGACCTGTGCCCGGGTGGGCTAATCCCTGTTTAAAAAAAAAAAAACAACAACAACAACAACAACAACAACAACAACAACAACAAGAGAGTCAAGACATCAAACATGAGGAATGAGGGTCTTATTGTACAGTGAGTTAATAATAATAATAATAATAATAATAATAATAATAATAATAATACTGTAATAATAATAATAATTAATGGCTTATTGAAAGAGCTTGGAAGCCAGAAGGCTGAAAATATACAGTTACATAATTGGGGAATGGGTTTCGAATTACAAATAATATACAAATAACATAAGTGATACAAATAAGATACCTGTATATAATAACTAGATGGGGAAAAGCTCAAACTACAGGGCATTTCAACATAGTGACAGTGCAAAAAGTAGTATTTACTGGGAGTCCATCGACAGAGTGCTGTCAATTCAACGTATAACAGTAAGTGCTGGCTGTGTAGGCGGTAGAAGTGCAGTGATCCCGAACCTTCCAACGATCGACTTAGTGAAGTGCCCATTCAACTTGTGAAGTTATACGAACATATCATAGTCTGTCATACCCTGTGTACGAATCCCCCATTAATTCCCCCTATGCAACTAGTAAAATAAAGCTGTAACACGCAGTTGTGTTTTATATACAGTGGTCCCTCGGTTAACGAGCGCCTCGGTTAACGAGATTTCGGTCAATGAGATTTCGGTTAACGAGTTACCTTCCATAAGATTCTTAACTTCGGTTAACGAGCAATCCCTCGATTAACGAGTTTCTTACGAGCTGACCTGAACATGTTTTCGCTTGCATTTGGCGGTCCACCAGCTGTAGTATTAGTCCGCCAATAGAGTAATCGGTTCTAGGGCTTAAATTCCTTACCATTTTAGTAAATATCAAGAAGCTTATATTATTCAATAATATTAAAAGTTTAATATTAATTTTTTTTAGTCATTTTAACAATTATTGAACATAATTGAAGGTAATGGAACTAGTTTTATGCGCGCCATCCAGCCTCTCAACACACCATACAGGCGTCAGTCTTTGTGTCTTTTCAGTGGAGGCAACATCTTGCTTGAGACTTTCTTCAACTAAATGCTTTTTTCTGTGTTTGCAAGCAAATTATTGGTCATTTTGAAATTTATTTTACATATTGACAATATATAATGCAGTGCAGTGTTGATTTAAAGAAAATAATCTTGAATTACACCAAGAGAGCTAAAATTTTATGGGTGAAATGGCACCATGGGGTGACTTCTCTTCACCCCAATGCCCTCTCTTCTCCCTTCTCCTCCACCCCACTCTAATTCCCATCATCATCATCATCCAGGAGCCTTCTACATACACACCTCAAAGTAAGTGTACTTTTCTACCTTTTTTGTTGAATTTAGGCAATTTTCGGTGAGCTGGAACCAATTACCCAAAAACCCATTGAAACAATGGTTTCGGTTCACGAGTTTTTCGGTTAACGAGCAACCTTCTAGAACGGATTGTGCTCGTTAACCGAGGGACCACTGTACTACACTTGTACTGGGCCTGTGTTAATAAACGTTGTCTCCCCCACACCCTCGAGACACGCTACCAAACTTCCTGTCTTTACATCCTCCTGCTTATAAATATTCTACCTATATGTCATATCCTCTTCTGGTGAGCTTTGTCTCATTACAACGCGAATTGGCTCTAACGCGATTTATGAATAGAGGAAAGATTTTTGTAAAACGCGAACACTTGTTTGCTGTAACGCGATTTTTACTTACTATTTCTCCAATTTTGTGGTATTAACTGTGAATATGGTAGAGAAGAATATCTCCAAGAAGCGTTCTGGTGATCGCATTCCCGGTGATGATCGTAAAAGAAAGGCTATAACACTTGAAGAGAAGCTCGATGTTATCAACCTCAAAATCACCCTTCTCCCCATCAAGTTATATATTCATATTTTTTCAAGGTAAAGTGTTACATTTACTGTATGATTTCATTAGTAGATATGAATGTAACATTTATTTAGACTGTGCTATCTTTTGTGTTAGGCTAACTACTAAATTTTTTTTTATTTCGAGTAATCTGCACCTAACCCTATTTTCTCCATAAGCCCTGTTATTTCTATTGCGCGAATTTCTATAACACGATGTTTTACAAGAACACAACTATCACGTTATAGCAGAACTGACTGTATGACAAATTTGAGTGTGTGACTGTGCCGTAGCGAGCTAAATATCAGCTGTTGAGGAGCGCTTGGCAACACTCATTTCCACTCCATCTCTCTATTACCCAAACCTTTCTGCTTTCTCATTTTTAAAACATTATGTAACATAATGTTGAAGGGATACAACTTTGCTCATTTATACTTTTATTTATCGCAATCTCCCTAAAAATACTTTAGGTTTGGTGTTTATTCAAGACATCTTCAGGTCATGAGACCCACTAATACCCCACCCAAGAAAGAGTGACCTAACATTTCATCAGAAGGTCAGTAATGAGACCACTAATCCCCCACCCTACCTCCATCTGACATTGCAGCAGGTCAGGTCAATTACTTAAGACCCACTAATCCCCCACAGCTCCATGTGAGTGGAAAATAACAGTCTTTGCTGTAACACACAGCTTCATTCATGCCCATATCTTATAGATTTTTAATTTTTAAATATATTATTTAACCAAACTTTTAGATAAACTATTCTGGGTTATTATAGTAAGGAAATGGAGTTTCTAACTTAATTAGAATCACATTTACGAACTTGGTAGTTTAAACTCAAGGAAAACATCCCCAGCACCCAGAAACGTTCTGAGGAAGCGGGCTCGTGTTTGTGTGAGCAAGATGTCTAGTTTAGACACTCAGATTCTTTTCCCAGTAACCGGAAAAGATTCCAGAGATAAGGAATTTTTTGGGGTTTGAGAAAGTTGTCTGGTTAGCAGGAAATCTCTCATCCCCGGAAGTGCTCTGCACCAATTGTTCCGGGGATATCACCGTATACTCGTACTTGTTTTTTTTATGGTATTCCCTCTTCTCACTGTTATTAGACATAAACATGTGTCAGTGATATAATTCAACCTGTAAGAACTGATGCCAAAATCCTGTGTGGTACAATGTAACTCATAGTTAACAGGTCCTCATTTACAGTGCATAAGTGTCACCATAACAAATAGTCTTCATAAACAGAATAGAGAATTCATGATATTCATTACCAACTTATTCTGATTCTGCTAAAGTTTCACCATCAATTTTCAAAATAAAGAATACAATTAACAGACCAATATTGCCTTCCTTTAACTTATATGATGAGTGACATTTACTTGAGTTAACTGTATAATATTTGGGAAATGTTATTGGGACACTGTTATACAGAACTTCATAAAATGTACAGTTGTACCCCACTTAACGCGGTCAATAGAACCCAGAGGATCCCGTGTTAAGTGAAATCCGCGTTAAGTGAACAACAGAACATATGGGATTAATTCCAATAGAAACCGGCCCGACCCCCAAACTCCACTTTTTGAAGACACATAACTATGTTGTAGTAAAAATAACATCTTAATTTTATGATGGTACATGCACACAATTAATACTTAAGAGAAATAGAGAAATACAGTCGCCAAGTTAATGTCCATTCAAGTAATGGACTCAACTCCCTCCCCCTCTCACACTACACTGCCGGCTCTTCCCTCTCTGAGAAATTTTTGGGGGAAAACCACTAAATTTTAATCAATAATACCTCAAACTAAAGTTAGGATAATACAATTGACATTGCTGGATTCCTTGTAAGACCAGGAATATTTTGAATATAAATGTCATATATTTTGCACAAAAGACAACATAG